GTAAGGCATGGGTCACGAGGGAAATTTTCATCGAATGGTTCAATGAAGTGTTTGGCCCTAGTGTGAAGAATTACCTCCTGGAAAAGAAATTGGATCTCAAGTGCCTGCTAGTAATAATAATAATAATAATAATCTTTATTTACTACAAGTACATGTACATGGTATACAGTCCTAGCTGACAACAATGACATACTACTACATAGAAAGCCACTTGTTATGCTGAGCATCTCAGGCAAATTAGGTCAGTGTCCCAGGATGCGACCCACACCAGTCGACTAACACCCAGGTACCCATTTTACTGATGGGGAACATAGACAACAGGTGGAAAGAAACACGCCCAATGCACCTGCTCATCCTCCAAACTTGGATGACCTAATTTTTAAGGAGTTTGGGTTCATCACAGTAAAGTTCTTGCCCCCGAATACCACTCCTCTCCTTCAGCCCATGGACCAGCAGGTCATTGCAAACTTTAAAAAACTCTACACCAAAGCAATGTTTCACAGGTGCTTGACTGTGACCACAGACACTCACTTGACCCTAAGGGAATTTTGGAGAGAACACTTCAGCATCCTCCATTGCATAACCCTTATAGGTATGGCTTGGGAGGGAGTGACTACCAGGACTTTGAACTCTGCTTGGAGAAAATTGTGGCCAGATTGTGCCGACAAGAGGGATTTTGAAGGGTTTGGGACTGACCCTGATGAGCCTATATCTGTTGTTAAATCAATTGTGGCACTGGGGAGTTCCATGGGGTTGGATGTGAGTTTGGAGGATGTGGAAGAGTTGGTGGAAGACCACAACGAAGAGCTCACCACTGAGGAGCTGCAAGAGCTTCAGCAGGAACAGCAACAGATCGCAACTCAGAATCTTGCTGCAGAGGAGGAGGAAGAGAGATGGAAGAAGGTGCCTTCTTCAGAAATTAAAGAGATTTTTGCTATGTGGGGTAAGATGGAAAGCTTTATGGAGAAACATCACCCTGACAAGGTTGTTGCAAGCCATGTTGGCAACATGTACAGTAACAAAGTCTTGGGCCATTTTAGGGAAGTGTTAAAGAGACGCCAGAAACAGAGTTCTCTCCACAGTTATTTTGCGAGACAGGACTCCAGTGACTCAAGGTGGTCCTAGTGGCATTAAGAAACAGAGAAGAGAAGCAACCCCAGAAAAGCAATTGGTACCTGAGGTGTTGCTGGAAGGGGATTCCCCTTCCAAACTGTAAACAATCCAATCTCTCTCCTCCTCCAGTCTCCCATACACTAAGAAGAATCTCCAATAAAGGTAAGTGTTATGCTGTTAATGTTTCATTCATCATTTCCCATTGTATTGTTTATGTACTACATCTATATTTCATGTAAAAAAATTTTTTGTTTTAATACTTCTGGGTGTCAGGAACGGATTAATTGTATTTACATTATTTCTTATGGGGAAAATTGATTCGCAAATCGTAGATTTCGATAATAGTAGCAACTCCAGGAACGGATTAACTACGAAAAACGAGGGACCACTGTACTTTAAAAATTCGTTAATTTTTTAACGGAAGCTAATTTTATTTTATATACCAGTAGGATTTTTAAAGAAATTTATTTATACCAAAAGAAATGAATGACTGCCTCGTCCCAGTGCATTTCATATCTTAAAAATACATTTAACTGCGTAATCATATTTCCAAGATATATTAAATATGTTTGTGATAGCTCATAAACGGCTGTTACGTGATCAGAGACTTCCTTGTTTGTAAGAACTGGGAAAACAGGTTATTCTTTCCAATTGGCTCAGTCACAGACTGTTATTAAAGCAGACTTGGGTTACCTCTAGGGAGTCTAAACTCTTAGTTACAACCAAAGTACTCTGGTCAATTTGAATGGAATTAAAATTCCCTATGATTAATATACAGTGGATCCTCAGTTAACACCTAAAAACTCGGTTAGGAGCTTTCGTCCCGAACGTGTCCGCACGGCGCACTGGGCAGGCCCGGCCACTCACTCCGTGTACCAGCCAGTGTGCCATTGTTTACAAAGCCAGTGAGGACGATTCCACATGTACATGCGATGTATTTTGTATTATTCCATTGTTTTTGGTGCTTGTAACTGCTAAGCCCTATGGTAACTGCCAGCCCTATGGTAAAGAATGTGAGAAACATAATTTAAGAAAAAGTTTGTAGAAAAATATGAAAGTGGTGGTGGTAGAGGGTGGTAGCAATTGTGATGGTGGTAGAAGGTGGTAGTGGTGGTGGTAGAGGTGGTAGCAATGGTGGTAGAGGGTGGTAGTGGTGGTGGTAGAGGGTGGTAGCAATTGTGATGATGGTAGAGGGGTGGTGTATGAGCGATTAGTAGAGGGTGGTAAGGTGATGGTAGTAGAGGGTGGTAGCAATGGTGGTAGAGGGTTAGTAGTGATGGTGGTAGAGGGTGGTAGTGGTGGTGATGGTGGTATGGTATGATAAGGCATGGTGAGGCTGCCAGTTCTGACAAAAAAGTGGCTGAAAAATATGTGCAGGGCTTTAAGGGGTACATAGAGGCTGAAAAATTAAAACCCCAACAAGTGTTCAGTTGTGACGAAACAGGCCTGTTTAGGAAGAAAATGCCAAACAGGACCTACATTACTCAGGAGGAAAAGGACTCCTGGGACACAAGCCAGAAAAGGACTTGTTACCTGAAGTCTTTATGGAAGGGGATTCTCCTTCCAACAATAGAACACCGTCCTCTGCCCTCCTTCCGTCTCATCACTCATCAACAAGTCCACAGTAAAGGTAAGGGTGATGTTATTATTGTTTTATTCTTCATGTATCATTGTTTTATGTGTAGGGAAATGTATATTTCATGTAAAAAAATTATTTTGTTTAATACTTTTGGGTGTCTGGAATGGATTAATTGGATTTCCATTATTTCTTATGGGGAAAATTAATTCAGTTAAAGGCTAACTCTCTGGAACAGATTGAAGATGTTTCATCTCAAAAGACGTTTTCCATGGCTGTTTTCTAAGTTGAGGACTGTAGTGGGATGAAAAAAAAAAAAAAGGATCAGTGCTAGCTTTGATAGTCACTTGTTGTCTGGAGACTGGAATATTGCTTTAGACTAACAGCCCCTTTTAAGGCAGTCAGTACTGCAAATCTGGAGAATGTTCAAGACATTTTATTCCCCCTGTAAATTCAGTTGAATGCCTAGAGTCCCTGAAAGATAGGGGAGAAAGATGCATTACAATTTTGATCTAGAAAATTTTGAAGGGATTGGTCCCCAATATGCATACTGAAATTGCTCCTTGTAGTGAAAAGCAGGAGTGCAGTTATTACAGTAAGAGAGAACTCAGTAAATGTAAAGGGGCCACAACTTTTCAACATTCTTCCTTCATACATAAGGGGAACTAAAAACAGATCCTTGACCATCTTCAAGTGAGAACATAAGTTGCTTTAAGGTTGGAGGGAGGGGGTAAAGGAGGTTTTGTGGGCGAGGGGCTTGGACTTCCAGCAAGCATGCGTGAGCTTGTTGGATAGGAGTGAATGGAGACGAATGGTATTTGGGACCTGACAAGCTGTTGGAGTGTGAGCAGGTAATATTTAGTGAAGGGATTCAGGGAAACCGGTTATTTTTATATAGCTGGACTTGATTACTGGAAATGGGAAGTGCAATGCCTACACTTTAAAGGAGGGGTTTGGGATATTGGCAGTTTGGAGGGATATGTTGTATATCTTTATATGTATATGCTTCTAAACTGTTGTGTTCTGGGCACCTCTGCAAAAACAGTGATTATGTATGAGTGAGGTGAAAGTGTTGAATGTTGAAAGTATTTTATTTTGGGGGATTTTCTTTCTTTTTGGGTCACCCTGCCTCAGTGGGAGATGGCCAACTTGTTAGTTCCTGATCAGCTGGTAGTTATATACCAGTGACAACTTCTACTGCATACATTGGACTTCATGTGGCTAGCACTGACAACATTGTTGATCGTAATGTCAACCAGGATGCCTGGTCAGGAATGAGCAACAAAGGTGGTGACCCCACAGAATCAACTACAGATAACCTATAGGTATGTAAATGACTTGCCAAAAGGAATTAAGAATTATATAAACATGTTCAGATACAGATATCCTGTGCAAGATAGTAAACAAAAATAACTGCATTTGAGATATGAATGATTGCATTAATAAGAATAAATGCCATGTTGCACAAACTGTGAAACAAACTAAAGGCATCCGACAAAGAAAGGGACCTAAGAATTGTCATTGGCAAGTTTGTCACTGAAAAATCAGAAACAAAATGCTGTATTGAGAAACGGTGACACTGGCCAACTCTAAAACAGCACTGGAATATGCATGTGTATATGTAGTGTGGTGTCCACACCAGACAGAAATTTTTAACAAGCTAGAAAATTCTAGAACTATGAAATGGCTCCCATAGCTAAAATAAAAATGTTAAGGCCAAAAATAGTGGATATTATGTTATGGTTATTTTCTGTTATAAAGCATTAACTTGTGTCATAAAAGGCCATAACTACAAACTAAGAAAGAAGAGTTATAGAAAGGGCACTCTAAAATTTTACTTTGTAAATTGAGCATTTGGATCAATGGAATGGGTTGCTAGTAGTAGTAGTAGTAATGTGCTACAATGACTGGATACCACAGAATACTTAGCAACAGATTAAATATTGAATATGTCACACCGTGAACTTAGTTCTGTTCCTGTAGCTACATATAGATAATTATACTGAGAGACTACTTTTGGATATGTAACTCTAAACTTTAAACTCAGTGTTAGAAGCTTGTTCCATTTTCTTTCACCGATATCGTAAGCATACAAGTTCCTTTACACTATGCTAGATTAATTTCTTATTTTTTTATTCCATAAGGTTTTAGTACTTTTCTAGCACCCACTGTGGGCAAGTACATGATTTATAATCTGATATGGTACAGAACATGCACACTTTTCCAAGCCATTCATCAGTGCTGAATGATTCAGTTGGCCCATACTGATTTAGCACTGTTGTTAACATTCAAAGGTTAGGTTTGGAATAAATTTATTATTACTGATAATATATATTCAGCACCAAGAGGTACAACATGAGTCATATTATGTGACTAAACCTAAGAGATTTGCACACACGATGTGCCAGTTGCATGACATTAAGATTTACAGGTGTACAGAGTAATAAAATATAAAACAGATGTGGGGACATACACTAGAACAGGTTATTGTATTAAGAGGTAAATGTGAATATAAAATGTATTTCTTGTGTTATGAAAAATTACTTACAAAATGATAAAACCTGTAAAGACTAGGAATGTGAGCTTCAGACATCCATGGCAAAAGCATCTTAAGTTTTTTTAAATTATACAGTAATGTCTTAACTTTGTTAACTTTGTAATTCTTGATGTACCCTTAATTTGCTGAAATTTATATACCATAATCAGTTTCTAGCATATATGATGCATTTAGTTTTAGTGTAAAATATGTATTAACATTATTGCAGATAAACATGGTTTTATTTTTTCTTGGAAGAATATGCTTCTGAAACTTTCAGTTTATAAGTGGTCAACATCCATTGTTTTTAAGAGCAGCTTTATAGTAACAGGATTTTATTAAAGCATTGTTCTTAGACTAGGAAAAATGTTTGGGATTAATTCGAGCATAACTTTATAATACTGAGAACATAAATATCCGAAATAATAAAGGAGCAAATACAGTGGACCCCCGCAATGATCAGCTCCCAACTCAATCAATTATGTAAGTGTATTTTTGTAAGTGCTTTTGTAGGTGTATTTTGGGGGGTCTGAAACAGACTAATCTAATTCACAATATTTCTTATGGGAACAAATTCGGTCTATAACAGCACCCAAACAGACTTCTGGATTGAAATAATATCGTTATGTGGGGGTCCACTGTACTAAACTGTAATGTATTTTCAGCTCTCAGCCCCCCAAGGTAAGTTTCTTGATTGATTGGATCAGACTTTCCCTTAATTGGCTCGACCTGATTGCTTCCCATTCCCTTAGGTGTTGTACAACCCCTATGAGCTTAGTGCTCCCCCCTTGAATATAATAATTTCTGCTCTCAAGGTCTTGCTAGAATATAGTATATAAAAATACCAAAGTATGTGCATGAGATACACAACTGAACTTCTGAACGTACAAACAGTCCACTTGATATTCAGACATTCATCACAGAAGCTTCACAAAGTCAAGGCAGCTTGATGAGGCATAAATCTCAGTGACTGAAAGTCTTACTGGCATTTATTTAATTTACTGAATAACATTTGTCATTTTTTGTCTTGTGAACTTTTGTAAGACATTCCACTTTTTGGTTGGTAGTGGAGTAGGATTGAATTATAAAGTTATAACTAATGAACAGACTGAAAATTGCACACCAAAACTTTCCTGGATTATTAATAGGTATTACATGCCATGAATGATTTCAATCTCTGCTGACTTGTCCCATGATTGTCAAATGAAGCAACACTTTGGTACAAGTTGGTACACAAAGCCAATCTGGTGTATAATACATAATCTCAATTATATACATGATCTCATACCTGTAAGGATACAAAACATTCACTCTTATACTCCACTTAACACAGAGGAATGTACAATGGTCCACATTGATCCTGGATAATGTATTTGGGCACCTACCACAATATATATTTTTTTTCTTCATAAAATGTGAGTTGCTTTAATGCAACATAAAATAGAAAAGGTTTATCTTCAATCACTTTCCTGTGAACACATGGAAGCTCTGGTACAATATCACTTTTTCATGGTCCACCTTCACTGTTATGGAAAGTACTGAAGCACAGTATATTCCACTTTGTACAGTAGTTTTAAAAGGAATGAGAGAATCTATTTTATACAATGTTTTCAAGATATAGTCTTGAAATGACTTAAACTTTGCTCTCAGGTCCAATGGCATGATGCTGGAAGCTTTCTCTTATGCGTGTTAAATGCATAGCAGTGGCATGGCCATAGACTTTGTTGTACCATTCTGGTGTTCTTCCTCTGCAAGACATAAAAGTCTATGAGAAAATATAACTGGAGAGTGGATACAAGAGGATGGCTGGCAATAAAGAGAAAGAATAAAGGCAAGTGACAATTGTAGAAGAAAAGGCAACAAAGCAAGATAAACCAGAGAAAAAAAGAATGGCAAGTGATGGATGGGAAATGAGCTGGGTATGGGTTGAAGACTGGAAATCAGTGGTTGCTACAATGAGAGGAGTAGATGTGAAAGGAAATTAAGGAGGATTAGGGGAAAAAAAAAAGACTGTAGGATAGATGAATATGAGTTTAAAGAGGCAGTAAAGGAGCAGGAGGGAAGTTAGGGAAGACATGGAAAAAAAAAAATTGACAAAACTCATAAAATATTTTATTAAAAAATAAAAAAAAAAGTTAAAACATACATACATATGTATATACAGTAGGGCCCCACTTTATGGCATTTTGCTAATATGGACATTTCAAATTATGACCAAAACTTGTTATACACCCCGCTCCCATCAGATTTGCTAATACAGTCACTGCGCATCATTCTGTCCAGAAACTTTCCAAAATTTCAAGTTTTAAAATTATTGCATACATATTTTACATATACGTACTCTGATAATTATACTTATATGTACCTGTATACAGTGCTGGCATGTAGGTACACATTAAAATCACCAAGAGTGTCTCACTAGTCTTGAAGATGTCATATTATTATTAATAATAATTGCCACAGGCTACATAACATATAAACATCCACAGTAGAATAAATCTGACAAATGTCAGATATGGTAGCTGGGTGGCTTGTCACAGTGATGGCAATGATTACGTTTTCTCTAGTCCAACACCAACACCACTCGTAGCTATCTGTTCTACTGCACTAACATGAAGACAACTAAGACATTATCTAAGTGTTTGTATTGTGGGGTAAATGCTTCACCAACTCATGCAAATGTACTCGTTTGAACCAAAAGCAGACAGGTATTAGTACACGTTTGACCGAGTGACTCCCTTTACACTACTATTTGTTTATAATTCTTGTAGGAGCTATCACACATGACTTTCTACAATACAGTGGACCCCCGGTTAACGATATTTTTTCACTCCAGAAGTATGTTCAGGTGCCAGTACTGACCGAATTTGTTCCCATAAGGAATATTGTGAAGTAGATTAGTCCATTTCAGACCCCCAAACATACACGTACAAACGCACTTACATAAATACACTTAAATTGGTCGCATAGGGAGGTGATCGTTATGCGGGGGTCCACTGTACTTCCCTCTCGCCCTACATTAACCCTTTGACTGTCGAGGTCGTACATGTACGTCTTACGAGGTACTGTGTTTGACTTATAAATTCAAGCAGGAGAAAGCTGGTAGGCCCACATGTGAGAGAATGGGTCTGTGTGGTCAGTGTGCACCATATAAAAAAAAATCCTGGAGCATGCAGTGCATAATGAGAAAAAAAAAACTCAGACCGTTTTTTTTTTTAATTAAAATGCCAACTTTGTGATCTATTTTTGTATAGTATTTATGGTTGTATTCTCGTTCTCATTTGATAGAGTGGAAAACATATTATAGAACCTGGAAATGGAGCTCAAAGTTGGGGAAATGTTTGATTTTTGCCGATCTTCAAAAGTTAATAAATGATGTCATTGTCCAATAAATGTCCAACTAGCCATTCTAATATGCAGTCATGAATGGGCTGATGTTATTTATACAATTATTACAGTATTGCAGTAGTCTGCATAACAGTAAATCTTCTATTTTTTGTTTGAATAAAAATTCAAAATAGAAAGCAAGAGTAATATCAGTGGGGCCTGGAAACATGACTGATGAACAAAAAAAATGTTATTTTAGAGCCAGGAATGTCATATTTTTTAATTTTCGTGAAAATGGCCAAATTGCAAATTTCTGACCACGTTATTGGGCAGTTTCTTGTACTCATTCGATAGAAAAAATGGATTTCTTAAAAAAATAGTTATGAGTTTGGTCAACTGGAGCAATGGAATTAGCCGAAAATAGGGCTCAAAGTTGGCAAAATAGCCAATTTGTAAATATCGCTGAGGTCACTAACTTTGCGAGAGCGTAATTCCATCAGTTTTCCATCAATTTTCGTGTTTTTGGTGTCATTACAATCGGGAAAAGATTCTCTATCATTTCACAAGAATTTTTTTTTTTTTTGTGACACCAGAAGACACTTCAGGATTGGGGGTTGCGGGGGTTAAGAATACAAATATTTTAAGTAATGAGTGTACTGTACGTATGTTTTATCACTCTGGGCCACTTTAAATATCGCATATTACATTTAGGTGTGGTAGCCAGGAGGGCTACCATACCTACCCTGCCTGACTTCCTACAATAAATACTACTCACCTCTCACCCTACATTAAGACTACAAATATTTTAACTAATGAATGTACTGTGTATGTATTTTACTTTTGTTTTTTAATGATTAGTTTTATTAACTGGCATTTGTATGCATTTATAGGCAGAAAAAAGTGGTGTTCCACTTTATGGCAGTAGCCTGGAACTTTACCTGCTGTATAAGTGATGCCCTACTGTATACATGATTCACAAAATAGTATTTCTACACTTTTTTTCACCATTGAATTTACAGGCTATTAGTTCATTTCATAGCCTAGTCCTATTAAAAGTACACTGCAACCTTCTTAGGGTCAGGGTACAATCCACAATAGCCAGCCAATGCTCAGGTATGGTACCTATTTCTGGCAGGGCCAGAAGTAAGAAGCTTACCCCTTTCCTCCACCACAAACACAACTCAGTGAGTACATTACCTTTTTCAAGGTCATTCAATAATTTCTGAATTTTTCTCATTACCTTAATGGTATCTATTTCACTTGCCTACTAGAAGTTTATAACAATCTTCAGGTTTTTTTCCTATAACCAAAGTATAAAATATAGCATTCAACTTCACACTAAATCAACTATTTTTAAGCCTTTTTGTATTTAATTTTATGTAATAAAAGGGTGTTTAATTCTATTTTGTACTCTACTTATTTGCCAGATTTTTTCCCTTCATTTATTGTTGTATAATTTCTGGCTTTATATTTACTTAAATCATATGGATTTTGCAATCCTATGCAAATTTCAAGTTCCTCCCATACCTGAACACTTTTTTTTTTTAACGTTTTTCTAATTGTATTTATTTACCCCTTTTCACTGCCAAGTTGGTGGTCTGGGTGCAAATTACCTATCAGCAATTTTGTCCAAGTCTTATTTTTAAGCCAATTACAGTGCTCAATTTGACCAAATTCTAAGGCATTTCACTAGTATGCCTTCTTTTCTATCTATTGAGCACAAGAAACTGTCCATTCAAGTATCAGAACTACCTTATAAGTGCACAGAAGTTTACACAAAATTAAACAAATTCCAATTTAGATACAGATTCTAAAATAAACACTACATGGATTCCAGCAACTAAAGTAACTTATCCTTTGCTTATTATTATTATTATAATCAAAAAGAAGCGCTAAGCCACAAGGGCTATACAGCGCTGCAGGGTAGGGAAGGAAGCAAGGGAATTGGATGGCTCCTTTGCTTATTAATCACATCCCCAGGCCTCTCCTATGTTGCACTTGCTATCACCCTCCATTTTGAATCTTGAAAAAAAAAAAATCTCCATTTTACCCTACTGCCAGGATAAAATATAACCAGGAATGATTGGTCATGGTTTAGAACATCCTAATAATACAAGTAGATTTAGAAAAAAAAACATAAGAGACCAGGGAAGAGGCCTACCCTTCCTCAAGAAAATAAAAAATCTCATGTTTCAACAACTTTGAGCCCCATTTCAAGTCATACAATGAACTAAAATTATCACTTATTTCAATAGTATATCTTTCATTCAATTAGTTGATACCAAGAAACAGCCAAAAATCTTTCTAAATAACCCCTCAAAGATACTATTTTAAACCAAACACAAAATCAGAGGTTTGCTTTTTTTTCATCGTGTACTGTGTGGGGCAAGATTTTTTTTATGTGTGCTCATAGCAGATTTGAGTGGTTTCATAGATCGTTTTGAGCACAGCTCTTTCAGATAAGCTTTGAGCAGTAAATTTTGGCCTAGACATGAGAGAATGTCTGTGCAGTGTGTGCACAGTATAGAAAAATTCCTCCTCGCACTGTGCATAATGGGAAAAGGAAAACTGACCTTGTGTCTGGCTTAAAACAGCAATTTTCAGGTGCTTTCTATTGATTTTTTTTTTTTTTTGGGGGGGGGGGGTGATTTCAGGACCGAAATAGCTTAAAGTTGGGCTCAAGGTAACGGAAATGTTTGATTTTTAAAAATTTTTCTGAGGACAGGTAAGGCTCCCCTACACCCCCCAGTCTATTTTATGGGATTTTTAATAGGTCTGATTCAATTATTGGGATGCTATAAACCATGACCAATCATTCCTGGTTATATTTTATCCAATAAATATGGGTAACTTAAGATTTTTTGTAATTATGCATTAAAAATGGAAGGCAAATGTAATGTAGGAGAGGTCTGAGGACATTATTAATGAGCAGAGGAAATGTTTCAGCACCTAGAATGTCTTCACCTTTTATTTTTTATTATTTTTAAATTGTGAATTTTGTTTAAAATTGACCAAATTAACTTCTGTACATTTTATAGGGTAGTTCTAATAGCTTAATGGGTGGTTTCTTGTGGTCAATCAATAGAATGGAAAGCATATTAGTAAAATGGCTGAAAATAGGACTCGAAGTGGGTGAAATTACCGGTGTAAATTAGGCCCACACCTTGCACCTGTGTAATTAAGTTTTCCATCATTTTTTTTTTTTTTTTTTACGTTCGGTGGCACTGCCAACATCACATTACTAAAGTAGACAGTTGACATTTCACTAGGCAACCAACCAGGCTGATCAGGACTGACTTCATAAAATTATGAAGTTCCAAAAAAATAAGGCACAAGTGCCTTACTGAAATGTTTCACCTGCACAACAACCTTCTTCAGTTGAATACAAAGGTGACAAATACTAGAGATAGTGGAGAATGTTCAGTCTGGCTAAGGAGCTGAATACACTTTTTTTTGTCTTCAGTTCCTTATTTTTGATATGTATTTAGTGTCTTAGCCAAACTAAACTCCCCACTTCCACTGTCTCGAGTATTAAAGTTGCCTCAGCATGAAAGTGAAGAAACCTGCTGTGCAAACAAAACATTTTGGCAATGGAGATACCTAACTGGTGTGTGTGTGTTTTATTAATGTTGGTAGTACTGCATACAATTAATGTAATGATACTTATAAAGTTCCTCTTGAGCATGAAGGGTGTTGAGTGTTTTTGTCCCATTACACTCTAGTTCTTTCTTAGTATACTCACTGCATTAATACTTTTCATCCTGTATAGTCCTTGTGGCTCAGTGCTTCTTTTTTGATTATAATAATATACTTTTCATCTGAGGTATTTTGCACCAGTAACAATCCTTTTTGTTCTCATATGGGAGTGATTTTGATGTACAGATTTAAGAGCAACAGTTCAAAATTTTTTCAGAAGTATATCTTTCTGAACTTTGTTTAAAAGATTACAGTAATTTAGGCACTTGACTGAGTTCATAGCTCTTTAGTTCTGCCTGCCTTATATGCAAGTGACTGTTAGTGTACAGCAGTATTCCACCCTAGAGAGCCAATGACTTGAACATTATTTTTGGCATGGCTTTTCTTGTTTTTAATGTTCTAGTTATCCTGTCTATAATTTTCCTTTTGGACCTATATGAACGTGAAATCTTTCAACATTATTAATTTTCTACTCTGTTGCATAATTAGAATTTGATTTGTGCTCCAGTCCAGATTTTTTTTTTTCAATGTTTACCTTGGGGAGTAACTGAAATTGTCTCATTAAACATCAAATTGTTGTCAGTGGTCCACTGGAAGATTGTTTATATCAGCTTGGAGATTTCCTGTATCCCTATGGATGCCACTCATACAAATTCTAGTATTGTCTGTAAAGGATAATGTACGGTACTGTGATGTCTTTGTGGGTTATGACAGGTGGGAGCAACCTGCTCTAAATCTATTTCCTCCTGAATTGTTAATCCATGTGAATCTCTCTCATTATCAAAGATTTTGATAATGAAAGTAATCAGACTACAGGTTTTACAAATCCTTTACTGTTACTTATGTGGCTGAAAATATTATAAAACCACATCTACTCTCTTGATTTATAATTTTCAGTACTGCTTAAAAATCATAGCACATGTACTCTTTGACATATTAATTAAGAACTTACAAAAATTAATGCAAATATTTTTTGCATAAACTTTCTAAATAACTTAAACTTCAACTTTTGTAATAATTACTTTATCAAACTAATAGCTGTACCATATGAACTGCCAATTTAACAAGGAAAAAAAACTATGATTAAGAAATCAAGGATGAAAATGAGTACAAATCATGTTTGTTTTTACATAACTAACTTAACCTAACCTTTAATTAATTAGTACATTGTCTATTATTTGTTTAAGATGGTCCCTGGCAAGCAAGAGGTGAAACAATTTGGATGAAAAAATATAACAGAATGTTAAGAAATCCTACCTCATATCCAGTCTTGATATGTGTGTAATTCTTGATTTTCCAGAACCACAAGGCTGAATTAGGTACCGGGAAGCCAAGACTATTCCCCGAACACCACCAACTAGAACGGGAGCATCAGTATGTTCTACAGAGGTTTCCACAACCACACAACTTCCTCGTGCCAAGTCACTCCTCCAACATCTGGCAGAAAATTTTACTTTTATAAGTCAGAAAAAATAATGTAAAAAAAATCCTCACCTCGTTTCTGTAACTTACCATACAAACTTTAGGAAATGTTTCTCAATGTCTGTAAAAGTATAAAATTCAGATAGCTGAGGATATTTTAAATTTAACTTAAATTTTATTTATCATGATTCATTAAAACTATTCTGATTTTTACAGTTTAACCTGGGTTTTCATATGCTCTAGTTGGAGAAAATTCTCTATAAAATGTATTTTTGGGTGTCTGGAACGGATTAATTGGTTCCGTTCCAGACACCCAAAAATACATTTATAAATTTTCAATAGAGCATATGAAAATGAGGTTCCACTGTATCTGCAAATAATAAAGTTAATAAATATTGTGTTACAATTAAAAATTGCTTAAACTTTGAGCCTTAGCATAATTTATAGATATCATTGGGCTCCTAAGAGTACTTGTGGTGATGGTGCTACTTTGATCAAGGAACTTAAACCTTTTAGATTACCTAATTTTTATTCTAGTGCTGCATGATTGTATACATTGTCCCGAGTTTGAACTGCTCATCGCCCTCAAGGAAGGTTCCTTGATGTGGTGAGGGCTCTGATTAGGGAATTGGATCTGTGCTCCAGTTCCGAATAAAGCCTGAATGCTTCCTCATCCCCCCCAGGCGCTGTATAACCTTGGTTTAGCGCTTCCCCTTGAGTTTAAATATATCCCAACTCGACCAATTATGTAAGTGTATTATTGCAAGTGCTCTTATAAGTGTATTTTTGGGAGTCTGAAATGGACTAATCTAATTTACATTATTCCTTATCGGAAAAAATTAGTTCGGTAATGACACTCGAACAGCCTTCTGGAACTAAGAAAGTTCGAAACTCGGGGTCCCACTGTAATGTCAATGGGGTCTTGCATGAATTTGAAGCGCATTAAGTGTTGCTAACCAAGAAAAGAACTTATATATTCAAAATTAATATGAATTGCATTATAGTAGATAATCGTTTGCAGAAGGGATTATTTGTATATCCTTCCTCCGTAAGCCATGCATGCTGTAAGAGGCGACTAAAATGCCGGGAGCAAGGGGTTAGTGACCCCCTTCTGTATAAATTACTAAACGTAAAAAGAAGAAAAACTTTCCCATTTTCTTTATCAGGTCACCTGCCTTGGTGGGAGATGGCCAGTGTTGAATAAAAAATTTGTATTATATATTTACAGTGCCTTTGGAATAGGGGATAATAAAGTTTGATCCAAGTAGGTTCAATTCTTTGAAGAGAGACTTGCCAGTGTGAAGGCACCCTTCCCTTGAAGAGATTATATTAAAGAAAAGAGAGAGATTATTATAATCATGGGGAGCACTAAACCCATAGGATTATACAGCATGTGGGGGGGGGGGATAGAAGGTATTCAGGGAACTGGAGCATAGATTCAATTCCCTACATCAAGAGCCCCTCACCAGCATCAAGGAACCTCCCTTGAGGGGAAAAAAAAAAAATTCATAAATGTGCCAAAATTCAATTTCAGATAATGCATGTGTTTACAATAACAAAGGAACCTGGATGATCCCACTCAAGGTAACTAAAATATAGTTGATAACAATGATGGAAGCCAAAACCAGCACAGTAATTTCTTTACACCTAAAATGATCTAATTAAAAAGTTGTACTTTAATGACACCAAGTCTTAAACTGCTCTACCTTAGGACACAGTAGTCTACTGGGGGTCGTGGAGGCATAGAGTTGCACATATACTGGAAAACTTCAGCCTGGCGATCTAAACGACAAACTACTCTCCATTTCAACAGAGAATCATCCCATAAGTGCCTGAAAAATATACATGAAGTTTATAATGATCCATATAAAAATTACTGTGTATTAATACTTAATGAAGAAATTAAACTCCACGTGTTATTTATTGTACAATAAATAACCAAAACAAAAGGGAATTTACCTTTCTCTAATAACACGATTCAGCAGTTCTGCTGGTGGAGCTTCTACTTCTGTGGTTGCTCGCCACAAGCGTAGTGGGTGACCATCTCCCACTTTGCGGTAAAGTATCTCTACGTGTGAATCAGCACAATTCATGTGTATCCATCCTCGAGTTCTGTAACACAATATTTTTTGAATAAGTAAAATATTTTTGGAGTACATTTTCTCTTTAGTTACAGAATCTACTTTTTTCTAATTCCTTAAGAGAACACAAAAAAATAAAATAGTATTCCTGCTTATATTCTCTCAATGAGCTAGTAAAAATGCAAAGTACATAATAATCAATAATTCGCTCATGGCAAAAGTAAATTTTATCATGAACTGTAACAGACTGAATAGCAACAACTTTTGCCTGATTAGATTCAACTCGTACATGTAGTAGTATTAATTCTATGCTGCACATCTTTAATCACACCTTTTGCTGGTCATTTTTTCTTAATATATGCTATCCTCATCCCTTTCAGGGTCAGAACCTGATATGAAAATTGCTCTCAGGGTTGGAGAATTTAAAAAAAAAAAATAAACTCTTATGAAATGATATTCTTTTTCCAAAGGTAATGAAACAAAGTACAAAATTTGATGGAAAACTCATGGTGATATTTACACATCAGCAATTTTGCCAACTCTGAGCCCTATTTTTGGCCAATTCCATTCTTCTAGTATTGCTTCTATTCTAATAAATGAATACAAGAAACCACCCATTTCAACTAAGCAATAAAGTGATCAGAAATTGGCCAATTTCACACAAAATGCAAAAACTGCCAATTTAAAAATAGGGTCTGGAATAAACAATGTAGACATTCCTGGCACTAAAAAAACATTACCTCTGTTCATTAGTTACATCCCTAGGCCTCTCCTATATTACTCTTTTTTTTCCATTTTGAATTTTTATTCACACAAAAATAGATTTACTGTTATGCAGACTACTGCACTGTTGTCATAACTGTATAATAATGTCAGCCTATTTGTGAACACTAGTTGGACACGTATTGAATGAGTGATGCAATTCGTTTACTCTGGTATCGGCAAAAATTTAACATTTCTGCTATTTTGAGCTCAATTTCAAGTTACTTTCAGTTCTGAAACAAATCAAAATCATCTTTATTTCTGTAACATATCTTCCATTCTATCAAATGAGACTAAGAAACTAATACAACAACCATAAAAAAACATACGAAAATACATTGGGAAGTCACTGTTTTAAGCCAAAACCATAGTCACAATCCTGCATGCACTGCATGCTGCAGGATTTTTTTATACAGTGCACTCTTTCTGTATAGATGCATTCTCTCATATCTAGGCCCAAATTTACTGCTCACAGCTTATTTGAGGGTGCTAAGCTCATCACGCAGAACAATGGGACCTACCCTAGCTTCAAAGTCATAGTACATCGGAGGCCCACCCCAAAAGGGTTAACTCTTTGCTCGCTACATTTATATCCAATTCAGGGAAGATATTAAATTTTAGCACTTTCTATGATAATAATAATAAAATGAATGACAGAATTTTTATACTGTAATTTTATCATCACAAGAAAACATTCAAAATGAACTGTACATGGAGTACAACAGTTTGAATATAATACAGTGGACCCCCGGTTAACGATATTTTTTCATTCCAGAAGTATGTTCAGGTGCCAGTACTGACCGAATTTGTTCCCATAAGAAATACTGTGAAGTAGATTAGTCCATTTCAGACCCCCAAACATACACGTACAAACGCACTTACATAAATACACTTACATAATTGGTCGCAATGGGAGGTGATCGTTAAGCGGGGGTCCACTGTATTGTGTTCAGAGGGCAGAGACTTTGTATTACAAGTCTGAATATGAAAATTTGTGTAGTTTTAAATAATATAATTGGATAGCTGAACTTAATACTGTGTGATTTACTGTACATACTTGTCTCTTGCTTCCTTAAGTAGAGATGTAATGCAAGCATTCATATAGGAAGCCCAGTCTCCTTCCATGGTACTTGCACCTGGGGAGCCCATTACACCTAGATCCTCAAGGCACACTGGTTGGCTCTGCTCCAAATATGTAAATCGGCAGTTTGACAACATCTCTATGGGCACACACTGAATTTGGCTGACCTGTAAATAGTTCAAAATTACCATAGCTTACAATAACGAGTTATAAAACTGGGATCCATATTTCAATGTACAGTACTATAACATTACTGTGCAATTTATAATTCCTTATTGTACAGTAAAGTTCCACTTATTCAGAAACTAATTAGTAACAGGAACTTTAAATTGCCCTATTAGAAATAGTCTCAAGATATGTCCTTGATTTATGCCCACGATACATGAAGGTTTCAGCCCTCATTCTCTTCCCCCATAAAACAGGAATGCTTAAGAAAAAAATAGTGCTGCATGATCCTTTCATGTTTAGCATTTAAGACAAAAAAATGCAACCTCAAAACCCACATCCAACACATAAAAGAAAGTTTCAAAATCAGTTAATCACTTTCATCTGAAAGTAGATTATAACATACTAACCCTATACCTAACATACAAAATTTGTGAATTGAGCTTAACAACTATAAACTAGCTGATTAATAGAAAGCAAAATCTACAACAGCACCCTAAGTAACCCTAGGCCAAATGTCAATCTTGTACAGGTTAAAACCCCTATGACTACTACAGGTTTATAGCCTACATACAGAACCCAAAACTGTACTTCTACATGTGATGTAAGATTCTACCTAGAAGATTGCAAGAGATCTCATGAGTGTTGAATGACACATGGATATATAACTTTTTTGATAAAACAACCAACATCATGACAAACCACAAGCAACCATGAACTATTACCATCTTTTCATGTACATACATAACTCAAGGTACAGACAAGATGTGCCATGCATACCCCTCAAATACGTCTTTCTTCTTTCAACAAAGTGGCCATATCCCACCGAGGCAAGGTGACTCAAAATGAAAAACAAAAGTTTCTCTCTTTAAATTTAGTAATGCATTCAGAAGTGGAACGGAATTCGTCCTCTGTAAGTTATGCGTGTTGTAAGAGGCAACTAAAATTCCAGAAGCAAGGGACTAGTAACCTCTTCTCCTGTATACATTACTAAATTTAAAAAGAGAAACTTTCGTTTTTTCTTTTTAAGCCACCCTGCCTCAGTGGGATATGGACAGTTTGTTGAAAGACAATATATATATACAGAAGATTAGGAGTAAAAGCACTCTAGAAAAGTGTAATTGGTATTATTTAGCGGTCAGAAATTTACTTCAGATTCATATTGTAACTTCTTATTTTAAAGTTTTTATTAATAAAATAAAAAATACATTGTTTTAATCATGCTAATAAAATCAAACTTTATTTAGTACCTCTTTCCCCTCCCTAACAATCAAATTACTGTATCTACCCACACCCTCATTCCCTTTAGACTGGGTAATGAGACTACTGTGATAAAAAAAAAAATCAGAGAATGACAACAAAATGCAAGACTTCAGACATAAACTTATTTACTACTGATCTTCTGTTTTAACACTCCGGAAACCAAATATAATCGTTACTGTATTCATCTATTGTTACGGAATTTGTGGGAAAGCACCAAACTTGTATGGGTTACACAGCACCAGGGGATTGCAAGGTAATCAAATTCAATCAAAGGAAGGGAAGGATAGATCCAATTCTCTGGATCAAGAGCATTTCACCAGCATCAACTGTCCAAATGTAGATCTATGTTTGCTCGCGAAGCACTCTGAACGTAGATCTACGTTTTTTTTTTTTTTATGTTCTTTCTTAGGGAGAAAATCAAGGTCGGAGTGCTACGTGCACAAACGTAGATATACGTTTGGACAGTTTAAGGGTTAAAGGGTGATATTCATTTAATAAATCACTGGTATGTGTTACCTGTCTTTTTCTTATCCATAAATGACTGAGTCTTATAATTTACCTGCTGTATCATAAGGGTGAGGCACTGGTGAGCTGCTTTATTTTCATGAAGATCTCGTTGTTCAGGAGTCCCTGCTGCCCTACGTCGCAGTGGGCTTGACCCAGACCCACCAACGTTTAAGTGGAATAGTGATGGTGCTAGACACACAGCCAAGTTGCTGGCATGCATCTGTAAAAATATAGGATTAGCTATAAAAAAATTATTACTTAAGAATCTGTCTGGTATTTACTATTCTTTCTCCTATACAGTGAGTTTGCAAAGTGAAACTATTATCTTAATACCTTTCTGATGTTCATTTATCAAGTGCATTAATTTTTGTGCAGATATCCTGGATTTTTTTTTAAAGTTCTATTTATTAAACTAGCTTAAGAAATAAGGCACAAAATTTTGATGTGCTTAACTGAATTGGATGATTGGAAAACAACCCCAACAACCTTTTTGTGATTGCCAGTAGAACATCCAGTGCAATATCAGTTATATTAGAGACAATATAGCAAACTCCTTATTTCTGCCTACGTCCACGCATGTCAAGTAACAGATCCTATCAGAATTTTATGACTTAAAAATGTCCTTCTGCCCTTTGTGATTCCTAACAGAATATTCACTGCAATGCACTATGTTTCATTAGTACCAGCACAATAACCTGTCCTTTAATTCTGTCTCAAATCTCTCTACATCAAGAAATTGTGTTTGGTGATATACCTGATTGAGATGTGAGTTAGCTGCAACATCTGCTAGGAAGGTTAGAAGAGCCATGAGCACTTCCCTGTTCTCATCTGGCAATAATAAAACTGCACATTGCAGGGCCTCAAGACGATGTTCAGCAGGTAAGTCTGAGAGAAACAACAAGCATATTATAAATAAATGTTACATAAAATGTAAAGCTTAGCATATATATTTTTTAAAAGAATGCATACATGACAACATACTAACATTACTGATAAGTACATATATCTGTATCAGCAGAATACAAAATTACTATTATATTCATGAGGAAACACTAAACCCAATAGGGTCATTCAGTTCCTGGGGATTGAGAGATATCTGGATATAATCCAAAGAAGAGGGTACCTCTTGAGTTCATAGATCAAAAGCCTTTCAAGTACATCAAGGGATCCTCCTTGAAGAAAGCAGTATAAAAAAAGGTTATAAACATTGAACAACATGTCTGCTAAAGACTTCCAAAAATCATACTAGGACCCACTCAGTGGTTAAGCAACTGCTGCCATACTAATGCAGGGTTTTCACCCACATTAAAAATCAACCCATAACATACACATCTAGTAAATGTAGTTATAATAATATGGTGGGTAATAGATATGGTAAATAAGTACTATTGAAATAAATTAGTTAACCAAGATATACACTTGCATTTTAACCCTTTCACTGTAGATACTCCCCAAATTGAAAGCCTCTTCGGTGTCAGTATTTTTGAAAAAACATAAAATTATTTTAACTTTATAATGGTAGAGGATCTTTTTCTAAAGGTAAAGACAACAAATTCATGCAGGCGTGAATATGGAGGTCATGGAGCACTTGCACACCAGCAATTGTTGCTCAATTTCAGTAAAATTTTAAGCCAATTTCAGTTCTCAAACTGACCTAATTCACAGCTATTTCTTTAGTATGCTTTTTGTACTATCCAACAATCACAAGAAATTGTCAGTTTTTATTTTTTCAATAAATTCCAATTTACAGTGTCTGAAACAAACACCGTAGACATTCCAGCCGCTAAAGCAATCAAACTGCCAGGCTTCTCCTATATAACACTTGCCCTCCTATCTGAATCCATTGTCACACCAAAATTCCATGTTTTTTGCCCCTATTTCTCAACTAATAAACTACAAACAAGTATGTTTGGTCACAGTTTAGGCCATCCCAATAACTGAAACAAAATTAGTAATTACCCATAAGACAGACCTGTTGGGGGGATAATACTGGAGATCCCCCCTAGTCTTCTCTGATAATACATATCTCAAAAAATCTATATGTAATTTCTGCCACTCTGACACCTATTTCAGGCCACTTCTGGTCTGAAACCAACTACAATCTTCTCCATTTCACTAGCATGTCTTCCAGTCTATCTATTGGCACCAAGAAACAGCCATTAAAACCATATTTAAGCCTTATGATTAGTTGCCCAAAATTCATTGCTTAATTAGTGGCTTTCTTTTGTAACTAAAACTGTATTAATTCTTTTAACTGCATACATTATTTGTATGGCATAAAGAAATAAGCATTATTATTATTATTATTATTATTTAAACCAAACACAAGGTCACAGGTTTGTCGTTCCGATCATGTTTTTAAGGTACTGCACATACCCATTACACAGAATATACACTGCTTTGGGGCATTATTTTTTTTATTATGGCTGCACACACCTCACAAATACATTCTATTATGTCTAGGCCAAAATTTACCACTCACAACAAAATCTGAATTATGCTTAGATCTACATCAACAACACTGATCCCATTGATGCAGCTCTATGTGACCAACAGTGAATAGGTTAAGCAGATTAACACATAAAAGTTATAATATGCTTATTATCTTACACAAGTTTGGAAGATTCAGGATGAGACTATAACCAAGAGGTTGGAGGTTAGACTTAGATTAATAATTTACATGAGGATCACCTATTTCTGTCCAAGTTTTAACATGACACCCTTCAAGAGAGGCACCTTGATGTTAATAAAGTGTTCCTGATCCAATGAATTGGCACTACCCTCCCCTTCCTTGGACTGATCCTGATTACCTCCTATTCCTAAGATGCTGTATGACTCTTATTCATCTGTATCTCTCCCCATGAATATAATAATATCGTATGAGAGATGGTAAGGGACTACAGTAAATGATAAAAGTATTCATCAAGACGTGTTGAATAAATACATAGTACTGTACTATTCTGGTTACTGATTTTTACTGGAAAAAATACAAGGAATCATATGGTAAAGAAAGTAAATAAAATAATTTGCAAGTACAGTAGGGCCCCGCTTTACGGCGTTTCGCTTTACAGCGTTCTGCTAATACGGTCATTTCAAATTATGACCAAAACTCGCTATATGGCTCCCCCCACCTGACTTTCTGATACGGTCACTGTGCCGAACCCGGTTTGTTTACATTCTCCATGAGATCCGTAAGCACTAAGTCTCTCCATTTTGTCTGGAAACTCCAAAATTTCAAGTGTTTTTAAAAGTTATTTCATATTTTATATATACCCTGATAATTATACTTATGTATACCTATACCTAAATAAACTTACATACCGTGCTGACGTGCAGGTACACATTAAAATCAGTGTCTTATGTCTCGAGACGTCATATTAGTAATGATAATAATCATCGAGTCTCATTTAAATGTCGTATATTATGTTAACCCTTTGACTGTTTCCGACGTATAAATACGTCTTACGAGCCAATGTTTCTGACGTAATTTATACAAATAATTTGCAGCTTCAAATCAAGCAGGAGAAAGCTGGTAGGCCCACATGTGGGTTTGGGGCCCTCCATGGTCAGTGTGCCCCATATTAAAAAAAATCGGGGACCAGTGTTGCATTGTGGGAATGCCATTTCAGTTGTCCTTTTTCAGATGTCTAGGGTAAGAATATGTGTTCCCAGCAATTCTGGGACTCTTCTTTCCAAGTGATGCTCTAACACGATGGAAGTGTCATGAGATTCAATTTCATGATTGGAGGAGTTGAGCCCAAAAGCAAGGAGGAGGAGGAGGGGAGGAAGAGGAGGGGAGGAGGAGGAAGAAGAGGAGGAGGAGGAAGGAAGAGGAGGAAGGAGGAGGAGGAGGAGGGGGAAAGAAAGAGGAGGAGGAGGAGAGGAGGAGAGGAGGAGGAGGAGGAGGGAGAAGAGGAGGAGGAGGAGAAGGAGGAAGAAGGTATAAATTGTTCTTGAAGCAAGAAAAAAAAATCCACCAATGACAGTCAAGAAAAGGGGGAGATAACTCGATTAAGACTGACTTGATGAGATAAAGGGGGTTATATTAACATGCCATCGCCCTCCCTTTGTTTTTGCTGGTACACAATCATTTTGTCTGTCTGCTATTTGTCTGTCTGTAAAAGCTCCCTGTTGTCCCCTCTAGCTCTCTGTCCAGAGAGAGCACAAGACTGTGTCATACGTTACTACATCTTCAAGCAGGTATAGCACTTTGTCTGGATTTCTTGGGTTATCCTGGGTTTAATTTACACTATGTATACTTGTTTTATGTGTACTGTGAGACAGAGATAGCAGACAGATAGAAAAGAGAGACGATTGAAGATATGAATAGGAAAAAAGTTTAATTAGATAAATGGGGGGGGAAAGCAGATCCGACCCAATGTTTTGACAGCAGTTATGGTAGTGACTAAGACCAATTGTCACTTTGCAGCTGCGCTCTGACTAAAACAATTATAAGCCACACACTCCCCACACAAGACGGGGAAAGGAGGAGGGAAGGAGGAAAGGGAAAGAGAGGAGGGGGAGGAGGAAAGGAGGAGGGGAGGAGGGAAGGAAGAGGAGGAGGAGGAGGAGGGAAGGAAAGGAGGAGGAGGAAGGGGGAAAGGAGGAGGTAAGGGGGGGGGGAGGAGGAAAGGGAGGGAGGGAAGGAGGAGGAGGAGGGAAGGAGAGGAGGAAAAGGGAAAGGAGGAGGGAGGAGGAAAGGTAGGGGAGAGGAGGAGGGGAGGAGGAGGAGGAAGGGAAGGAGGAGGAGGAGGAGGGAGGAGGGGAAAGGAATAGGGGAGGAGGGTGGGAGGGGAGGAAGGAGGAGGAGGGAAGGAGGGAAGGAAGGGGAGGAGGGAAGGAGGAGAGGGAAGGAGGAGGGGGAGGAGGAGGAAGGAGGAGGAGGAGGGAAGGAGGAGGAGGAGGGAAGGAGGAGGAGGAGGAAAAGGAGAGAGAGGGGGAAGGAGGAGAGGGGGAAGGAGGAGGAGGAGGGGAAGGAGGGAGGAGGAGGGAAAAGGAGGAGGAGGGGGAGGGAAGGAGAGGAGGAAGGAGGGAGGAGGGAAGGAGAGGAGGAGGAGGGAAGGAGGAGAGGGGAGGAGGGGGAGGAAGGAGGAGGAGGGAAGGAGGAGGAGGAAGGAGGAGGAGGGGAGGAGGAGGAGGAGGGGGAGGAGGAGGAGGAGGAAGGAGGAGGAGGAGGAGGGGAGGAGGAGGAGGGGGAGGGGGAGGAGGAGGGGGAGAGGAGGGGAGGGGAGGAGGAGGAGGGGGAGGAGGAGGGGGGAGGAGGGGGAGGGGGAGGAGGGGGGGGAAAGGAGGAGGAGGAGGGGAGGAGAGGAGGGGGAGGAGGAGAGAGGGGAAAAAAAAGGGGAGGAGGAGGGGGAGGAGGAAGGGGAGGAGGAGGGGGAGGAGGAGGAGAGGAGGGGGGAGGAGGAGGAGGAGGGGATGATGATGATGAGATGATGATAAAGATGATGAGTGAGATTGATGATGATGTGATGATGATGATTTGTTTTTGTAAACAAAATATATTTTTAAAAAGTGTTTTTTATTGTGTTGTATACAACGAGTGTTATATATACTTTGGGCACCTTACTTGGTCTTTAGGCCAAGTAAGTTATGTAAAAAAAATAAAATAGTGAAAAAAAAAAAAAAACCTTCAATTACAAGTAAACTAATTTACCGGTGAGGGCAGTCGCCGTGTTGCCATACTCGCCGCTGTTCCATACGCGGCCATTTTTCTGCAAACTTCACGGCTCTATATTCGGTAAGTACCGATGGCAAAAAATTTTTTTTTGGACTAAAACACTCAAAAAATATTTTACATTTCATAAGAAAAAATAATTTTTTTTTTTTTAAATTTGGCGACTAGAAATGACAGTTTCAGAGAGGGCTAAACAGTCAAAAGGTTAATTACACATTTTCATTAATCCATCTTGATATTTTTCAAATTATATAATAAAAGGATGCATAGCATTAAATATAAAAAATTTAACCCCAATAGAATAAAAAAATATGGATGTGGTAGCCAGTTTAACTTGTACAAGTGAGGGCCCAAGAATAACATTTTCTCTAGTCTAACATAAGTGAAGTTTACTGGGAGTAACTGTAGAAATTATTCTTTTCGTATGTATGTAATTTAAAGTTTATTCAGGTATACACAAATACAGTTAAAATAGATTATCATACATAACAGCAATGTGTAGAGAACCGGGGAAAAAAACCCCAAAAAAGTCATAATGCCTTATTTTCCATTCCCTTCACTCAAGCACATTTTTCTCAAAACAATGTTACATGAGAAATGGGAGTGTTCTTCTTTATTTATTCTACATCAAGTAGAGACACTTGTACACAATGTACTTGTACACAAACCAACGTTACACTTTTTGTTTACAAAATTACGTTCGCCTGTTTGTTACAAACTGCGCTTTCTCTCTCATGAAACTCATTCTCTTTTCTCATTATTCATTTTATTCGTTTACTAACTCCTGCCCCTACATTAAGACTACAAAATTTTTTGTTGGTAATCCCTTATGTGTAATTGCTTCTAAACTGTTGATTCTGAGCACCTCGCAAAACAGTGATAATGTTGCGTGTGGGTGAAAGTGTTGAATGATGATGAAAGTATTTTCTTATGGGATTTTTCTTCTTTTTGGTCCCCCTGCCTCGGTGGGAGAGGGCGACTTGTTGAAAAAAAAAAAAAAGTAATGAGTGAACTGTTATGCATTTTATCGTTGGGATGCTTAAATATCATAGAATATTTGTGTGGGTGGGTGGCCTGGTAGGGTTTGGCTGCCCTGATACCATACGTACCAACTTGATCTCTTCAATAAATACTACTATTTCACCTAGATTAAGACTACAAATTTTTTAAGGAAAAGTAAATGATAAACTGTATATGCATTTTATCGCTCTGGGATGCTTAAATGTAATGAATATTATGTGTAGGTGGGGGCCTGGTTATGGTAGCCCTGCTAGCTACCATACATACCACACTTGATTTCTTACAATAAATACTACTTGTCTCACCCTAGATTTAGACTATAATATTTTAAGGTTAAGTAAGAGAGCACTATGTGTGTATTGTACTTTTTATTGTTTTTTGATGCCTAGTTCTATTGCTAATTTAATATTTGTGTAAACTTGTTATCTAGTATTTGTATGCATTTATAAGGGGAAAAAAAAGGGCTTCCACTTATGGGACTTCCGCTTTACGGCGGTAGCCTGGAACCTAACGTGCCGTATAAGTGGGGCCCTACTGTACTTGTGATTTCCAATTGTAACTTACAAGAAACAGACTTTTAGAAAATGTTAAAACTCCTTTTGAAAAAATTCTGAAAGTGTTTTGGAATTAGTGATTTTTTTTGAAATGAAATACAGAATTTCTGAATTATGGAGAGTACTGTATTCTAAAGCAGAATTTCATTTTAAGAATTTTCAATAATGGTACAAGTAAGAGAAATTACAGCACAAAAATATTTTTACATACACTGGAAGATTGCAATAAACATTTCTGAAAGCTTGTTTGTAAGCAGAAAATTCAGGTAATTCCCTGAAATATGTCTTGACCATATCAGCGATGTCACATGTTTCCAAATGCTGAATACTGGATGTCTTCCCCTGATTCATGAAACTCTCTTAGTTTTTGAATTCGAGAACGAACTCCAGGTTTTCTGAATTACCAACCTAAAAATAAGATTAATAATTTTAGCTATAACACTGATTAGAAATATTATATAAATTTTAAGAAGCTTATACGAATATGACAGTTAATTAAAAAAGTTTGAAAATTTCAAAAGCATCCTAAATTATCAGACCTTATTAAAGTCACAATCAGGTTTTTCCAGAGCCCTCATAAAATCTTAAATAAAAATATAAGCACTCTTAATTATTAATTACAGTACATACTTGATCTAAACTGGTTGCTCTGAGATACTGGAGTGCAGCTTGAATACCGGGAGGAAGTGGTGTCCTGTCCGCTGGGTGATCCCCAAGAGAGGCACGCCAAAAAACTTTCTATCACGATAATCAGGCGTTTTAATTTTTCTCATAAACTTTGGCAGTTCCCAATTCCATCCACTACGATTAGTTGGACAGTAACGCTCCAAAAAGTGCTGTTTGTCTGTCAGAATGAGCAAGAAGATTCACATAGTACAAATACTCCATGAAGTACATATACCCTTCATACTTAAAGGGTTTTTTTATGGATACTAATAACAAAATTTGTACCTCACGATTTTCAATAATACTGTGGACTCTAACAGAATTGCAGGACCACATTCACCTTATGAAATCAAATAATCTATATTTCTTTCCCGGAAATTAATACTTTGTCTCCTCGAATATTTCTTACCTTAGAAGGGTCTTTTTCGCAAATGGAGCATTTGACCCGCACTGAACCGTTTATTTGTGTGCCCAAATGCCGTGAGCAAGGTGGGTATGACTTTCTATTAAAACTGTGCCATTGTCTCTGTATTCTGTAAAATAAATACAAATGTTAATCATGTGACAGTGACTGCTAAGGGGTTTTTTTCAGAAAATGTCTAAATAAAAACACTGTTCAATTACAACAAAACTGCCTTGAATGCCAATTCATGTCTTAAACAGTATTTTCATTATTTTGCAAGTCTCAACAATATACTCTATTCCAAATGTTCTTGATACTTATAATGTCAAGTACACAAACAACCTACACATAGGAGACTGGGAAAATTTTTGACAATGTTATTTGTGTATTCTACCCAGTCATGGTACTGTTTTCTTTTAATTCTTTATACTGCCAAGTATTAAATATTGCTATGTACCAATAATAAAATACATTGATACCTTGTGATAATTCACCTGTACAATACAATGTAAAGTCATTATTTTAAATAGTTAACCCATACTTTCAACATTGTAATTGTTTATTTTAAGTTGTAGTGTGCCTTCGTTATTTATCTCATGATCATTCAGTACTGCTTCAACAACGTCAAGCAGTCAAACACCTACACAGTACGCATTATAAGAAAGCATCTCTCTCTTTCTCTTCTCTGACTTGTTTAAACTGCTAGATGGGGAACCCGTAACAAAATTCACCTCCGACAAGGTTCGTCATTTTCATCATCGTCATGTGTGGAAGGTAATGGCGAATCTCCACTTTCAACAGTGCACTCACTGCTTCCCGAGCCCTCGGGGACGCTGGCTTCTGAAAACATGTAGACTACATCATAATAAGACATAGTGTAGATGTTTGGTATACAAAAGTGATGAAGATAAATTAAGTTACCAGCACAAAACAACTAACTAATGCTGACTACAGCAAGTGAGCACAAGGAGCTTTAGGCCTAAATAAATACTAATGCTGCTAATAATAATTAAGACTAATAAAGAACTATAGTACTCAGATTAAATTTAAGGTTAACTAGAGCTTCGAAGCTGAAAATAAATAAAACTATAATACTTAAAAATCAACTAATAAATATTTTAAAGTTTGTGAGCAATGCCATGAGTGTTACAAAAAATAATTGTTTTTGTCCCAAGGCATTTTTGACTCAAAAAATTTAAATAAAATACATTTTTTTTCACAAGTCAGGTTTTTCCACCGAGCAGGTGACCAAAAAGAAAGAAAAACCCCCAAAAAGAAAAATACTTTCATCATCATTCAACACTTTCACCTCACTCACACATAATTTACTTTTTGCAGAGGTGCTCAAAACACAACAGTTAGAAGCATTACGTATAAAGATACAAACATATCCTCCAAACGCCCAATATCCCAACCCCTCCTTTAGAGTGCAGGCAATTTACATCCCATTTCCAGGACCAAGTCTCCGGCTATATACCCAAATAACCATTTCCCTGAATTCCTTCATAAATATTACCCTTTCTCACACTCCAACAGATCGTCAGGTCCCAAATACCATTCGTCTCCATTCACTCCTATCGAACACGCTCATGCACGCCTGCTGGAAGTCCAAGCCCTTCGCCCAAAAAACCTCCCTTACCCCTTCCTTCCCAAACCCTTTTTGAGGACGACCCCTTTCCCGCCTTCCTTCTCCTACAGATTTAATTGCTCTCCATGTCATTCTACTTTGATCCATTCTCTCAAAATGACCAAACCACCTCAACAACCCTTCTTCAGCCCTCTGACTAATACTTTTATTAACTCCACACCTTCTCCTAATTTCCACACTCCGAATTTTCTGCATAATACTTACACCACACATTGACCTTAGACAGGATATCTCCACTGCCTCCAACTGCCTTCTCGCTGCTGCATTCATTTAAATATGCAAGATTACAGGTATGTCTTGCTACTTCTACTTACACTTAGGTCACACTACACATACATGTACATGTTTATTTATACACACTCATCTGAGTTTTCTTTGATTTTATCTTAATAGTTCTTGGTCTTATTATTTTCCTTTTATATCCATGGGGAAGTGGAATAAGAATCTTTCCTCCGTAAGCCATGCGTGTTGTAAAAGTCAACTAAAATGCCGGGAACAATGGGCTAGTAACCCCTTTTCCTGTAAAGATTACTAAAAAGAATAAAAACTATACATATTCAAATTAAAAAGGCAATTAAACAATGGTAATACAATACGCAGTATAATAACAATGACCATACATATGACTAACTTCCTCCATCCCTATATTACTTCTCCTCTCTGGAAAAGTCTTTTAACCCAGGAAAGTGGCAGATGAGATAGCAATGAGGGTAATCACACATTTAAATGTATATACACTATATTTAAAAAGCAAATCTGCTTTTTTGTAGTTACAAGTACCTGTACTGCTTAGAAATTTTCTTTCAGATACTAAATGAAATTTTTAATACTGCTTTCTTTACTTTAGTTTCCATCCCTTTGTTGTTCTGTAAATGAACCTATTCTAACTTCAGAATTATTTAATGACTATTGTAATTTGTAAATAAAACATGAATAATTTTAGACTCACCAGAATCCATGACTTCTGGCTGGTAATCATGATAGCTTTTGTTGCAAATAATGAGAGGCACATTATCATAAACAGAATGTCTCTCTTCTTCTGGACTGGGTAATGGAGAGAGATTCTCTGTATTTTTCTCCACACCTATAAAACACACAGCCCAATTATCAAACTGCTTCTGTAAAGTCTCACCAAATTTAATACATACATGTATATGAAATCAAAAGTCCCAGTATTTACCCTTAAAGAAATATGAAATATCATTATTGCATATCCTTAATGAAATGGCTTTTTGATTTAAATGATTATGAAAAACAAATAAAATTTATATTAACCTGCTCTGATGCTGGCAAGAAAGTTTTCTCTAGCAATCTGGGAATCTTTGCCATATGTGAGGGAGCCAGTGTGTCTCAGATGACTTGCTCTTGATGGTGTCCCTGTACCTGCCTTACTGATCCGCTTTTCTGAACATACTGACAGTCCCTGTGGAAAATGTGTATTTAACAGCCACATCAAAACTTGTTATTACTTGTCATATACAAGTTATAACAAAGAAGGTACCCTGATCAACAACAAACTGGCAAGTGCTACTGATTCAGATTACCGGATAGGATTGTGAAATAACTAATTCCCAAGTACAGTGGTACCTCGAGTTTCAAACAGCTCCCAACTCGAACAATTATGTAAGTATAGTTTTGTAAGTGCTTCTGTAAGTGTACTTTCAGGGGTCTGAAACGAACTAATCTAATTTACATTATTCCTTATGAGAACAAATTCGTTCGGCATCAGCACTTGATCAGCCTTCTGGAACAAATTAAGTTCGTAACTCGAGGTACCACTGTAATTAAGATTTTTTAAGAGAAAAAATTTATTATTTGCATCATAAAGAACAAAATACTAGAACAAGTAACAGCACTGAATGGCCAACATTAGTTTAGGTTTTGTGACTATAATAGATAATGTGAAGATAGTTATGGAACTGAGCTTATACACAAGATAATGCATTTCAGATTTATGCACCCTGTTTACCAATCTATTTTGTTCCATTTTTCCTATATGGCCATGTCATCAATTTCTTGCTTCCTCTTTGATTTACACTTTTCAAAGCACCACACCATGCTCAAATTTCTTCCTTATTCTCAGTGCCATATGAGTCACACCATATACTGACTGGAAGCACTTCCATTGCTTCTTATACGTTTCCTTAGTACAACATTCAGTTGCTTCAGACTATGCAAAATTGTCAGCACCACTACGTTCAGATACATTCAAATTTTTTAATCTATTGACAAAATGTTAACTTCTATCCAGACCTTTAAGCACTTCTAGGGCTTTTTCTCTTGTCTGTTCTGCAAGGTACCTCACCTTTCTTAAAACTATCTACTAAGACTTATACCCCTAAATTTATTTCTTCCACTTTCCGATCTCCCAAAAAACTATAAGTTACTCCAATCACCAATTTCTCCGATATCTCACCTGTCCCACTGACGTCATCTTATTGGAGTTAGCATCTGTGAGGTAGTGTCTCCAGGTTGGTGGTGAACATTCTGAGTCACTGTAGGCGCCTCCTCCACCCTCCCCTCCACCTTGAGTGCTGCCTCCTCTCCGCCAAAACCGTCTTCTCCGGCGGCCTCGGAACATTGGGGTAGAAGTCTGAGAGTGATCTGAAGCTAGGGATGAAGAGTCCTGCAAATAAAAAAAGTTCAAAATTGTATCATCTTGGATTTGTTGGGCTTTCTGCTGATTGTCATCACTATTTAATGCAGTATTTTTAATGTGAACAGTCAGAAAAAAAAAAAAAACGCTTACAGAAAAATCACACAATGAAAATGCTCCAATATACTTGATTGTAATACAGTACAATAATAACATATGTCTTCAACACAAAATTTAAGAAACACTAAAGGCAGGTATGTTGTCTGGTTAAAAAATTATTTAAACACATGTCTTCTCCCCAATAATATGAATGTAAACATTTCTGTTATACTGTAGTAGGCTACATGATACTGCTATAAGATAAACAACTAAATTATTCTTCAGAAACATCAGCAACTAAAAATATACATACAGAATTTGTACTTTATACAGTAGGACCCCCGTATCCATGGGGGATACATTCCAGGAACCTGCCATGGATATCGAAATCATGGATGGCAGCAAACCCTATAAGTCCTATACATACCTATTATCAAGTTAATTGATAAATTATGAACAATAAGTGGAAAATTATCACTTTTCCACGGCTTCTCCAAGGCTTTGAAGAACTGCTAGCTTCTCTACTTTTGTGCTTTGGGGCCATTATTATGCAAAATTAAGAGGTATTTTTGGGCCACAGTAAATAGTGGATAACTGAAACCGCAGATACCGAATCAGTAGATACGGGGGTTCTTCTGTAAGGGATGAAACTTATATGCATATTTTTACATTCAGACAGCTGTCCAGGTCATCCCTTAATATGTTTAATTTCCTATAATGATATTCATAACAATTTGGAAATCATAGAAACAACAATATAAAGATAGGGGAATCAAGAAAAATACTTAATAACTTTAGTGAGTAGGTACATAAGAAAAGTTAACATTATATATGGGCTAACCCAATTACCAGTAGAAGGTTAAAAGTAGACAGTTACTTGATACATTTTACCTCCACAATTCTGTCATGGAATGTTAACTTCAAGACAAATTAATCAAGATTTCTACTCATGCTATGACACAATTCAATAAGTCTTCCTGATTTTACAGATACATATTTTATTTCAAAAAGCTTGAAGCAGAAGGCAAAAATTACACATCCCAGTTAAAAACTACATCAATATTTGTATTACATTTGGGTATGCAGTACAGTGGACCCCCGCATAGCGAACGCCTTGCATAGCGAACATTCCGCATAGCGAACGCTTTGATCGCTAAAATTTTGCCCCGCATAGTAGACAAAAACCCGCTCAGCGAACTTCGTCCGAGACGCGTCCAATGTGGGCCCTCAGCCAGCCTCACATGTGCCGCCCGTCCCATTGTTTACCAGCTAGCCTCCGCGGTAACATTCAAGCATACACTCGGAATATTTCGTATTATTACAGTGTTTTCGTTCTGTTTGTTGAAAATAAGTGACCATGGGCCCCAAGAAAGCTTCTAGTGCCAACCCTGTGGTAAAAAGGGTGAGATTAGTATGGAAATTAAGAAAGATTTGAAGGTTTGGGGCTAACCCTGAGAAGCCTATGCCAGTTGTGGAATCCATTGTGCCTACTTCAAAAATTAAGGAAATGTGTGCACAGTGGGTTGAACTGCAAACCTTTATGGATGAAAATCACCCTGACACAGCTGTTGCAAGGCGTGCTGGTGACTATTTCAATGACAATGTTATGGCCCATTTTAGACAAATCGTAAAGGAACGGGAGGTACAGAGCTCTATGGACAGAAAGAAGTCCAGTGACTCTGAAGCTGGTCCTAGTGGCATTAAAAGAAGAAGGGAAGTAACCCCGGAAAAGGACTTGCCTCCTCAAGTGTTAATGGAAGGGGATTCCCCTTCTAAACACTAACACTCTCTCTCCCCTCCTCCCATCCCATCAATCATCACCAGATCTTCAATAAAAGTAAGTGTCATGTAATTGTGCATGCCTTTTTCAGTTTGTGTGTACTAAAATTAACATTTTTTTGTGGTAAAAAAAATTTTTTTTCATACTTTTGGGTGTCTTGCACGGATTAATTTTATTTCCATTATTTCTTATGGGGAAAATTAATTCGCATAGCGAACATTTCGCATAACGACCAGCCCTCTTGCACGGATTAAGTTCGCTATGCGGGGGTCCACTGTACTTGGAAAAAACAAAAAAAGAAGAGGGGGGAAATGATGAATTTTTAAACAGGCTGCACAAGTCAGGACAGAAATGAGCAGAAATATGTTAAGGTGAGAAAAGAATATTTAAAATTGTAAGACAAACCTCGCCATGAGTGGCATGAGAGATGTCTGTGGGTGGTGTGTGGGCATGGGTGTGAGTTTGGGCTGGGGTGGTAGTGGTGGTGATTCGGGTGGAAAGCTCAGGGGATGCCTCTGGGGATATAGCCACACAGGCCAATTCCTCCATCCGCGCCTCCATGTGTGCCTCATCCAATACCTGGCAAAGATTTGTGCAATAAGCAAAACAATAATACAATATAGTAATACAAACAAAATACAATCTATAAAGAAAAATATCAATTTATCAGTAGTACTGACAATAATAGCCACTAACATTCAATAAAAATAGTTCAATTGATTTTACTTTTATACTCATATTACAGTATCTTAAAAACAGGGTAACTATCCTATTACTGAATTTATTTTATTTATCTCTAATTTCTATGAGGCTCATGACTTATATCCATTCTACTCGAGTGAGTCTGCCACTCTTCTTAGCGAGCCTCACCTTAGGACCACTGATGACAACACCATCCCTGCTCTGCCGCTTCTTCTTCTTGTTCTTGAGGGACTCCATGCGTCTGAGGAGAGCCTTGGCGCCATCTCTGAGTCTTTCAGAGCCAGAACGTTTGAACTGTCCGAGAAGGACATCTTCAGGTAGTTCCAGCCCACGGGGCTCTCCACATACCTTGCCCTCACCACCTGTAACAATAGTAACATTATACAAAGTGCCCACATACAATGATTTTGCACAGGTAATTTTATAGGTTAAGAGCCATTATTGTATCTCAACTCATTTCATAACTCAACCCTGTCTATGATACAGCATACCTCCCTCCCAGGATGCCAATCACCACAGTTGGCTAACACCCAGGTACCCATTTATTGCCAAGGGAACAGAAGCAGCAGGAGTAAGAATTGTCCGTACATCTCAACACACCAGGGAATCACACTCAGGTTCTGCTTTGAGTTGAACACCCAACCATTAAGCTACTCATCCAGCAATAGAATAAAACTGAGACCTGAGAAATACTATTTTTGTTTATCTGTTGTTGGCATACAAGCATAAATTTAATAAATACTCAATGGAAAATTTAGAAAAAAATAATAATTTTTTATATTAAAATACATTACAATATTATTTACAATTAGTATAAATCAATAAGGGGTATATGTTAATGTAGCCCTTCAATGAGGGGCACCTTGATGCTGGTGAAGGGCATTATTCACCCCCTTCCTTGGATCAAACCTGATTACCTCTCATTTCCTAAACAATGTATAACCCCTGTGGATTTACTACCAATAATTAATAATAATAATAATTATTATTATTATTATATAAAAAAACACCTTTACCATAAAAATACAAGTTAGAAATAACAATTTTTTCTTACAGTTACTGACCACAAGTGACCACTCCTCATATCCATAAATGGACCAAGTCAAGCCAGTTGCAGTATTAAGTACCACAGGTGTTGGCGTGTTACTCAGGTGTTCCTGGTAAAATAACTTGGTTTTCTTGACAGCACAAACCTTGCAGATGTTGTTCAGGGTCACCCAAGATGACGCTTTACTGAGCCTTACCTCCAGGAATCAGTAGCAGTAGAAGATAAGAACACGAGAAAGGAGCACTGTAGCAAGCCTACTGGCCCAGGATAGGTTAGTTGCATGGACCAGAGGGATAGCGACTCAGGTTAACCAAAGAAAGTCAGTGCGTCATCGAGGACTATCTGTCTTGGTAGGTAAGACACATGGACAACAGTTAGGCAGCTTTATTCCGAAACGTTTCGTCTACACAGTAGGCTTCTTCAGTCGAATACAGAAAGTAGGCAGGATTATTATTATTATTATAATCAAGGGGGAAGCGCTAAACCCGGAGGATTATACAGCGCCTGGGGGGGGATGTGGAAGGCATTCAGGCTTAATTCGGGGAACTGGAGCACAGATCCAATTCCCTAAATCAAGAGCCCCTCACCAACATCAAGGAGCCTTCCTTGAGGGGAAAGTAGGCAGGAGCAGTAGAGATGTGATGATGATGTAATCAGTCCATCACCCTTTTGAAGTCATAAATTTGAGGTTGTCAGTCCCTCAGCCTGGAGAAGAGTTCTGTTCCATGTCAAACAATCTGAAGAAACAAGCGACAGTGTTTTTTATTTTTTTCTTGTAGTTCTCTTCTTTTTCTCCTCATCATCCTCTTCTCATCTCCTCATCTTCCCCTACCCACTCTTCTCCTTCTCTTAAGACTTAAGGATTTTAAGGCCACTGACAGTTTATGCAGTATCGAGCCCTACTTCCCGATGTTCAAGAAGAAATATTGCTCAAAACTTAAAGATGAATGAAAAGGTAACAGGAGGTCCCTTTGCAAATGTAAACAGGAACAAAGAGTTCCTAGTTAGGCCTAAACCCTAGCATAACGGGACATTGCACCTAACCTCCTGGAATCATCTTTCCAGGGAGGGGGGAAATAGGAAATAAAACTCGGAAAATTCATCACTGATGCTCGGTGACGTCCACACTCCACCAAGCAGACGGTGCAACATTTTTCCAATGAAAAGCAGGGTCGTCATGAGTACACTAAGAGAAAACACAATAAGTGTCCGGGGCCTAAAACTGTTCAACAGCCTCCCATCATACAAAAGAAGAATTACCATTAGACCCTTGGTAATATATAAAGTTAGTACCCGATCAGCCGAGCTGTGGTTCGTACGTTAGACTATGTGCGGCCAGCAGTAACAGCCTGGCTGATCAGGCTCTGATACACCTGAAAGCCTGGTCAAGGACTGGGTCGCGGGGGCGCTGACTCCCGGAACACCCTCCAGGTAGGAAAACGCAGTTCTTTGGTTAGGTGAACCCCGGACCTAAACACCGGCAGAGTCAGATACCTCACTCCTTGAGTCAGTACGTCTAAACTGCACCAACGTGGGCACTAAGTCCCACACAAGCTCCGTAGTCTTTCTTTGATGGGCCACCACACTGAGCCGTATTAAACCCAACTCCCCAGTTTCTGGGGAAGCAATAGTACCAAAAAGCTGGGCAGGAATTGGGAAGAGAATAGGAGTTCCTTCAAGATTTCTGGTACTTGTCAAGAAGGCTGCCAAAGGTACAGACACTACAGGAAGCGTTTTTTCATACCTTGCAGCGGCTGTAAGTCCTACGTGTGGAAGACTTCAAGGGACTTACATACTAGAATCAGGGAACACAAGTAAGGTAACCAATGAAATGACACAAACAACGCAAAGTTGCTGAAGCAAAGATATTTATCAAAGAAGGAGACCAAAGCTGACTGAGTCAACTTTGATAACCACCACAAGCACCATTTTGCACAACTTCGGCTCATTTAGCACATTCGAAGTTTTGCAAAACTGATCCTACTAAAAAACGACACTGCCATCACAGAAGGCCTCACTCCAATCAGCTGATTTGACCTCTCTAAACGTCACGGACCTGACCTCCACCACAAATAAGCTTATGCTTTCTTGTTTCTGTATGAATTAATAAAGTCCCTGGTGAAGGAAACGTCTTAATAAAATATAACCCGCACACCGTATCTTCCTAACCATCTAGCCAGGGTATCGTGCCTCTTCATGGCTATATACGTCTCTGCTTGGCTCTCAACAACGAACGTGAAGACAATAACGTAATACGTCAAAGACTCTTCACGGAGACAAGCAACAAATGTTAGTAACTCAAGACTTGAAAGTTTCCAGGAAACTGCCGTCACATCCTGCAGTGATGGTGCGCTTGTACCCATACTGACACCACCAACCTACTGTACCCATACTGACACCACCAACCTACTGTACCCATAATGACACCACCAACCTAATGCACCCATAATGACACCACCAACCTAGTATACCCACAATGACACCACCAACCTACTGTACCCACAATAACACCACCAACCTACTGTACCCACAATAACACCACCAACCTACTGTACCCACAATGATACCACCAACCTACTGTACCCACAATGACACCACCAACCCACTGTACCCACAATGGTACCACAACCTACTGTACCCACAATAACACCACCAACCTACTGTACCCACAATGATACCACCAACCTACTGTACCCACAATGACACCACCAACCCACTGTACCCACAATGGTACCACCAACCTACTGTACCCCTGGCTGCCTTCAAGAGAGAGCTGGACAGATACCTAAAGTCAGTGCCGGATCAGCCGGGCTGTGGCTCGTACGTCGGACTGCGTGCGGCCAGCAGTAACAGCCTAGTTGATCAGGCCCTGATCCATCGGGAGGCCTGGTCAAGGACCGGGCCGCGGGGGGCGTTGATCCCCGGAATAACCTCCAGGTAACCCACAGTGACACCAACCTACTGTACCCACAATGACACCACCAATAACAACGTTTCGCCCACACATGGGGCTTTATCAAGTGGGTGTGACTTGATAAACCGCACTGGGTGGGCGAAAGGCTGTCGATAGAGTATCATATTACACCGCTTTTGTCTTTTTTATTCCATCTTTCACACACACACACACACACACACACACACACACACACACACACACAGGCAGATAAGAGAACACAATGATGTACGATATTTGTATTTAATCCAGTATTCAAGGAAAGCTTTGGGTGGTGTCTTGTACTGACGTCAAGAGCAGCCTCGCCTCACCTGCTTCACCACCACTGGTGACTTATAAAGGATCATCACTGGCATGACAATCCTTGTTTTGGAAGTTCTCATTATCCATCCTACCATTTTCCTGGCAGATGTGATAATAACACTGTTGTGATCCTTGAAGATAAGATCTAAGTTTAAGACTCCCAATCCTTCACATTAGTTTTTTGCTCTATTGTGTGGTTAGAATTTGTTGTATATTGAGTTCTAGCTTTTATTTCATGTTTTTCACAACGGAGTAACTGAAATTTGTCCTCATCGAACATACTGTTTTCCACGGCCCACTGGAAAACTTGGTTTAGATCCGCGTAGAGATTTACTGTGTCCTCAATGGATGACACTCTCATGCAGGTTCTAGTTTCGTCTGCAAAAGAGGTCACGGTGTTATGGTTTACATCTCTATGTCAGATATGAGCACGTGGAAAAGGATGGGGACGAATACTGTGCTTTGTGGAACAGAGTTTATCACTGTGGCAGCCTCCGAATTAACTCTGTTTACCATTATTCCTTGCGTTATCTTGGTTAAAATGTTAAAAGATCCATCTGCTAACTTTTCCAGTTATTCCTTTAGCACGTATTTTGTGCGCTATTACACCATGATCACACTTATCGAAGGCTTTTGCAAAATCTGTGTGTAATAAATGTGCACCATGTTTATCCTCCGGTGCATCCAAGACCATGTAATAGTTGTCCAATGTCCAGAAGTTGCGAGAAGCAGGAGCGACTTGTCTAAACTGCACTGTGGATGGCGATTATGTTTCTTAAAAACTCTTTCAAAGACTTTTATAATGTGGGACGTTAGAGGTATCGGTCTATAATTCTTTACTATTGTTTTGTTGTCACCTTTATGAAGTGGGGCTATGTCCGTTATTTTTAAAGTACGAAAGGGGTTTCTGCAGTTCTTGATGGACACTGAGTTCCACGAGTCTGAGCCTGGAGAAGAGTGCATGGACATGTCAATGATTTTTTTTCTCAAAGTCCAGTGGAGTTAAGGTTATGTCAGAAATTTCGTATACTATAAAGTTTTGACACTAGGTCATGAAA